CGCAAACTTTCGGTGAATCAGAGGATGCAATAACATCGACCAGAAGCTGGACACCTCGGATCTGCACAAAAATATCCCGATCTTTCGCAATGTGGTCTAAATGTGGCAACACTGAATTCTCAAGTATTTCTCCTGTAAAAAACAAGGAGTTACAAAACTAGAAAAAGATTCCTAATATCGCTAATGTACGGTGGCCCAGAGGTGCAAAACAGAAACGCAAATTCAAAACACAAACGCAAATTCAAAAACACAAACGCAAATTCAAAAACATAAACGCAAATTCAAAAACATAAACGCAAATCATGAAAGCACGAACGCAAATTCAAAACAGAAACGCAAATTCAAAACACGAACGCAAATTCAAAACACGAACACAAATTCAAAACACAAACGCAAATTCAAAACACAAACGCAAATTTAAAACACAAACGCAAATTCAAAACACAAACGCAAATATTTAATTATTTATTTAAATCCAAAACGACCTAGCGCACCACAAATTTAAAGTCAACAATGATAAGTCTAATAATATTATTAATTATTGTTGCAAAGTATAATACATTTATAAATGCATTTTTGTCTTTTGGCCTAGTAAAATATAAAATTATTGATATGGAGGAAGCGATCAGTTTTTACTACGGAAGAAATTTTAAGTACAAAACGATACTGGAATGTTTAGAAAAATATCATGATATCAAAATATGTAAAAGAGCGCTCATCACCAGATTACAGGAGTATGGTTTGGGAAGAAGAAGATACAACGCGAATGAAGAACAAGTTAGAGAATGCGTTCAAAGAGAACTACATGAAAATGGCAACCTCTTAGGATACAGATCAATGTGGAGGAAACTGCAATCAAAATATGGCATGCGTGTGCGCCGTTCAACAGCTCAAAGTATCTTAAAGGTGCTTAATCCTGAAGGTTGTGCAGTAAGAAAAGCTCATAAGCTGCAGCGGAGGGAGTATTTAAATCCTGGTCCAAACTTTACCTGGCATGCCGATGGGTACGATAAACTCAAACAGTTTGGGTTTCCCATTCACGGCTGCATTGATGGGTTTAGCAGGCGAATTATGTGGTTAGAGATCGTTCGAACAAATAGCGACCCTCGGGTCATTGGAGGAATATTTCTTGATTGTGTTAAATCCCAAAACGGTTGCCCAACAATTCTACGAACGGACAAAGGGACTGAAAATGGTATAATGGGCACTGCTCAGTGCAACTTACGTCGAAACCACAGAGATCACTATAATGGGATAAAAGCACATCGCTATGGATCGTCACACAGCAACCAGCGTATAGAGGCGTGGTGGGCCATGCTACGTCGGTCGTGGGCATCGTGGTGGATTAATTTTTTTAAAGATTTGGTAGACAGAGGTATTGTTGACACAAGCAATATACTTCAGCTGGAATGTCTTTGGTTTTGTTTCATTAAAGTGATGAGGGATTCCCTAAAGGCTATTAAGGAGTCCTGGAATGCCTATTATGTTAGAAAATCCAGATACCACACTACTCATGGCATTTCTGATCAACTTTTTTTCTTGCCCGAGTCAGTTGACGCGGTTGATCATAAGGTGGAGTGCCTGCAACATGATATCCAAGCGATCGAAGGCAACGTTGCCGTTGAAGATGACGAAATACACAAAGTAATATTTTAATTATAATTTTTCAATATTACAACTGCAGGAGCCAACAACATGGAACGATTCTCTCAATAATTATGAACTGCTAATTGCAGCAGCCCAAGTGTGAACCAAGAAAAAACAACGAAAAAATCTAACAAACTAAGTGAATTCATATTCCAACGTAGTATAAAACAAGTAGGGACCTTAAGCAACGAGAACACGAAAGAAAAACCACTTCAAAAACTTAGGCATATAAAACATAGACATATAAAAAACGCGTAACTGGAAAGCAGCTCTTAAGCTGACCTTTATCCTTACTGGTAAATGGGAGTACGAAAGTACAGTTAACGTCCAGGACGTCAACGTTATCGTTGCTTAAGTTGCCTAATATAAGCCATAGAATTATATAGGAAACACCTTTTTACAAATGGAGGAAATTGCTTGCAATTCCATGTCATAAGCAAAAATTTATCAGCCGAATGTATAGAAGCCACGAATTTCACCGCTAAAAGTTTACGAGGTTTCAAATTAAATTTAACGTTAATTGCTTCAATTGCCACCTATTTAAGTGTTCTTTGTTAAAACTGATAATATGAACTTTACAACAGTATATATAAACTTTACATATATAGTGTGTACTAAAAGTTTTAGTAACTAATATGCATGTTATAAGCAATATGAACAAATAATTCTTATGAGACTTCTAAAGATACAGAAACTCAAGTAATTACTTCAAAAAACATAAAAGAAACATGTAATATTAAACAACTTCTGCCTTATACAAAACGTGGGATAACAAACACCTTAATCACCCATTCACGTCAGTTAGGCGTGTGTTAGAAGTCGCATTTTAGTCGCGTCGAATGCAATTCAAACAATAGATAATGAGATGATAATGAAGTTTAATGAGTTTTATCATCTCATTATCTATTGTTTGAATTGGATTCGACGCGACTAAAATGCGACGTCTAACACAGGCCTTAGACTAATGCCATACCAATGTCTGAGTGAGACATAAGACTGCACCATTCCTCTCTAAAATCGCCAAAATCGTTGTAAGTTGATGGGAGCTCTATCACTGCTCCACAAGTATGAAACACTGGCGAACGACTTTAACCAACCAAAGAGGTAAATGCGATAGAAATCTCCTCAACTAAAATAATATCGGATCCGGTGGATATTCTCAAGAAGTGTTTAAGATAATTCGTATTAAGACCTTTGATCCAACGCTTTAAATGACTTAATGATTCATTCTCAGCAGGGGATTTTGGTTCAGCTTTAATGAGCTTACATACTCTGCTCGCAGTAGGAAAAAAGAGGTGTATATCTGAAACAAGGCGTCGTTAGAAGTGATAAAAGATTTCAAAGGTACTACGATTTCTGACCAACAGTCAAATGCATATCTTGGTTTCTGCACCAATTCTTTATGTGCTATTTCAATAATCAGATCCTTAAAGTTTTCAGGCGTAGCAATCTTCTTGCACTTAAAAGCCGTTAAAAGATCTGAAACCTCTTCAGTATCAACACTTACAGAGGAAGAAAGAACTTTTTCTGCGAAGATGGCTTTGGTTCTAGAGATATACTTCATAAAAGAGTTAAAGTACATCTCAGAAGTGACAGATTCCTCCCGAAAAGACAGCAGCTTAAAAAGACTGGGATATTTGAATAGGCAAATAGTGTTGTTGCACATAACCTTTGAGTAGGACTCTGGCGAGAGCCTGCCACATTCACTTAGACACATCATGACGAATTATTGGTACCCTTTCAGCTTCACCGAGCATATAGCTATTGCAGATATCTTTCCAAAATATGGAAATCGCATCTCGTACAGCCCCGCTACCTACACCTTTCTCTACAATACCTCTGGGATCGATTATTTGTACACTTATGAACTTGTTTAAAATGTTACTATTAGCAAAATAGTAAAGGAAATCATTCTTTACTTGAGTTCTATGGATAACCAAGACCTCATTTTCCATTTCTTCCAACGATGTCAGGGATATGACCTCACCCTTACAAAAATGTTCTATAGAATATTCCATTAAAATTTTTTACTGAATATCCTATAGAATATTCTAAGGGATTTTGGAACCTATTCTATGGAACGTTCTACAACACGTTCTATAACCTTTAATAGAATATTCTATAACATATGCCATGTTTTATAGAATACTCAATAGAATATCCTTCAGAACATTCATTAGAATGTTCTATAGAATACTGGTATTCTATGGAACATTCTAACACATATTCTATGACATCCTATATGAAATGTTCCATAAAATATTTTCAATCTATGGAATATTCCATTAATGATCCTATTGAATATGTGATAAAATGTTCCATAGAATATGTATTCTATAGTATATTTTATAGGATAATCTATTAAATATGCTATTGGATGATAAATGGTATATTCAACATGCGTCCATGTTTCGACTTTGAAATATATCACTTTATAACAACATAATCAAAACTTCTTTCTGCCAAGAGTGAGACATACAAACAAATAAAATATTCCCAAATATATGTAACAAATTTATTTACTTAAAGTTCAATTGATGCAAAGATTTAATGAAAATGCCTTGCTTAAATTACATATAAATAAATCTAGAGATTAAAGAAATTGAAATACATATATTATACAACAAAGAATAAAAAACAAGTCCTATAAGTGTCCATATAACTTTAATCTGCATGTAGAACTCTAGTTCTGGTAATTAAGTCTGTCAAATAACCATTTTGTTTCGTGGATAAAACAACTGCAGCCGGTTGTTTGAAGGCTGTTTAGCTTAAATTGTAGTTAAGTAAAATTATATACATTTCACACATTTTGAGGAGGATTCAATTGAAATATTATGCACTAAGTTGAAAACAATATGGTGTCACTGAAATTGAAATATTTTAGCTTGGTTTTTTTATGAATGTATAAATTTATTCAATATTTTCTAGATAAAATTATTACCATACTGCAGTTTTCCCACCAAATAAAATGATTGTGCAAGAAAATAGCAAAAATATAACTAGGCTATTATACTAAATATATTTACATGTACAGAACATGTAAATAGTAGAAAATGGAATGTCATATAGTTACTGATGTCCAGATGCTTTCAACTTGGTTTTCTCAACTTGCACAATATTATTAATCTTTGGTGCCATAACTTGTCATATGTCTGCCTCTTTTCCCTCAAACCTTTTTGCACTATACTTTAGACACAGCTAGAAAAGGTAAAACTCATCAATAACTGAACCAAGATATGTATATAAGATATATTAACTTAGACCAGACATAATTACTAACAATTATACTGCTTACCATATATACTCTTAACTTTCTCTGGCTCTGGTTTTCACCCGTGTCACATATTCTCAGCGGCTGTAACCCAAGATTTCTCAATTGAGAAGTGCAGGTCTAACCCAGGCCAAATGATCATCTAAATCATTCAATGGCCAGCTATGCGCAAAGGGCAAAGGTCAAATACGTTTGATCCAATAAACGGTGCTTTTCTATGCGCATTTGTGTGTATGCTAATTTGTTCACTCGTCGCGACTGCACTTCGATAGAATTTTAGTATTATTTTGATATATTTCGACATTTAAAATATGGAACCGTCAAAACGTCAAAGAAATCGTATTACGGATGCTCAAAGAATCGTTCTGGAGCGATTATATGGTAATGGAATGGTTGGAACAGGTCATTTATATGACAGCAAAGTCGATCAAGCTACGCAAGAAACGGGCCTGACGAAAACGCAAGTTAAGGTAAACCCAGATTATCTGTGCATCTTAAAGAATTAACCAGAGTGTCTTTTTCAATAGATATATTAAAGTGTAACATGCATAAACAGTGTTTATTTAAAAAGTTGTTTGAATTGCTTAATAACTATAAATAAGATTTTATGCTTGTACTTCAAAATTGTGTTGTTGTGCTCCTTCTAATTACTGTATACTATATTATTATATTGGTTACAATTTTATATGTGTACTACACTGTATATTGCTTATTCCTAGAAATGGATTGGTAACCAAAAAAGGAAACAACCTTCAACCAGCCAAACCTTTGATGAAACATCTACATTGAAGAGGGCCAAACACATAAAAGGACCACATTCATACAATGTATTTTGCAGTGAGTTTTTCAAGTCTGGTTAGTGAAATTGTCTTTATTTAATTTTTGAAATTAACAATATTTATTGCATGGAGCTAGGTCAGGCATTAACAATCAAATTATATCTTGGTATGGTATCTCCTAAACCTAATTTTTGCCCTGTCATGTGTGTTCACTTGCCCTATAATAAGGCTTCAATAGAGAGGAAGTCTTCATAATTATATTCAATACATTGAAATGGTAATTGAGTTGGAAAGATTACAAAACAAGGGTTGAATGTCTAAATGTTATTTAGTAGCTAATATGCTGCTCAAATTTCTAAAATGAAAAAACAATTGAACTAAATATTAGGCAAAATGTATAGTCATCATATTGAGTTTTCTCTTATTGGATGAGATGAAAAAACAGTTCTTCAAAAATGTTGGTTGATGTGGTTTTTTGTGTATCTAAAATAGTTTTTATATCTGTGTTAATTTAGATGAGTGTAAAGGCTTGTCTAATACTGAAAGGAATAAACTAGCTGCAGAAAGGTGGAATTTGCAAAATGAGGATGAAAAAAAGAAATATGGTGAAACTGCTAAAGCCCTTAGCTCAGTTGATATAAAAGTGTTGGATGATGAGCAAAAGAGAAAGCTTATTGAAAGACACTGCAAAAAGCTAGTCGAGGAGGTAGCGGAAACCTTTATTTGGTTTGGCACTTGTAATATTGTTAAATTAGAATAGTTGAGCACTAGGTCTCCCATCCCATTCTTTTGCTATCATTTATCTTGGTTTCTAGAATTTTCTATGTTAGTAACAGGTAAGCTTGGCTACTGTGGATCTGGCTAAATGAGAATAACACAGGTTAATGTAGGGTTAGGACAAGAAATAAGAGCACCTGGCTTTCTAAGGCACCATACAGAGATTAGTATTTCCCTTAGTTTAGTGCCAAAATAGATAAAGAAACATATACATCATAATGGTATGATAAATAGCATGATTAATGACAAAAAAGCCCCACACTACCAAACTGGCCAGTGCAATAGTTAAACTGTAAGTTGAACAAAAATTAAACAGGGCAATCATTATGTGATCATTAGATGTGTGTTTATCCATAGATCAGGATACTGGAGGATTTGGGCTGCCAGACTTCATCTTTGATGATCAACAATGAAGGCACTGTTTTCCAACTGGGATCCAATGAAGGAAATCATTTTTTATCTTGCAACCCCGATATTGGCATAAAATTTCGTGAGTATTTTGGTAAGTTCTCTACAGGTCACTGGTAAAATAATTTTATTTAAGACTTGTGACAATTTTAGAGCAATTCCAATGGGATTCTATGTTTATAACTAAAGTACCAATGACATGACCTTAGGTAGTTCTGTTAAGAAGTACCGCAGAAATGATGTGCAAGATCTCTTTAACAAGAAATACAGTAAGTCTTTTTTTGTCAGAAAATTGTTCACAACTGCTACCGGTAATGTGTTTTTAAACTTTAAAGGGCTGCAAATACTGTAACTTAACAATCACAGCTGGTTGTATAGGTTGCGTAGGTAAATCGTAGGTTAAAAGGTTAACCATCTTCTTATACAACCAGCCCTGAAGAATCTATTACAGTACAACTAAACTTTGATGAATACATACTTCACCCGATGATCAGTGGTTTGCGCAATTATTAGCAATATACTATAATGATTCATGAGATGATTCATAAGAGCTAGACTGGATAACCGAAAAGTATATTGTAAATGTTTACAACATCAGAATTATTTCTAAATTTAAGGTGAAGCGGTTGGAAAGAGCTGCCGGGTGCCGTACTCGAAATGTGGATTCAGAGTTGTTGGTCTCCCTGAAGATATTTCTTTTAAGAAACCATATAACTATGGTTCCTTGCAACTAAAGAAAATCATGGAGGCTGCAGACAAAATAAAATTCATCATTGAAGATCCAACTCTCAACGAACCATTGAATGTTTACCCGACTGCAGTTTCTGGTAACAATGGTGATTTACAAGGAACTGTAAATGTTGTGAAACCTTTACTAGTAAAAATTGCTGGAGAAGATGCTGCGCAAAGGGTGCTGGCCGATTCTGAGAAGCGAATTATGGAGGAGGAGATTGAGGTGGTTGATTTGCATTTAAGTGATGAAGAGAAGGCAAACTTATATGGTTTGTGTGAAGGTTATTTTTCACCTGATGCATGGTTAGCAGTTGGACATAACATGCAACATTCAAGACAGGTTGAAAACATAGTTTTACCTGTACACACGACTGCAGAAGAAAGATTTTGGCTGTTTCGTACGAATGATAAGCCATTGCGTATAGCCAAGTGTGTATCCTCGGCCAAAATACGGGGTCAGTGGTTGGATCTTGTAGATGATGACACATACACATTCTTGCATAGTGACATTATTACGGGTAAGAACCTTATTCGTTCTGCTCATGGACCATTATATTTTTCAATAGAGGAAGCAGCTACTGAAAATTTTAAGTTACCAAAACAATTTAGATTTGCGATCGAAGGAGTTTTAGGTAAACTACGTAATGAAAATACTTGCGAATGGAAATGATGTCAAATTTTTTATCAGGGTAACAGGGTTAATTATTATAGTCAATTGGTACCAGGGCCGTTGCTAGATTGCTTAATTGGGGGGGGGGAGATATAATCATGTATAGTATTCATGATCAGTTTGGCATAAAACGAATGATATGAATACACATGCACTCCCCTCCCCCAATAAGGCTTCTAGCTCGGGCTCTGGTTGGTTCATCGTAGACTCATGTACTTCATAGACTCCAGTTTAAATATTTTCTCAATATATATCATGTGCTTCAGTCATTTATCACGATAAATACCGAATAAAAATGCAGTATTTATTAAATGCAATATATATATATATATATAATGCAAAAATTAAATATCGGAAGGTTTCAGGTTACAAATTTATATCGATATATTTAAACATATTTTCCACAGTTCGGTTTTGTGCTAGAGTAATATTTGTCACACACGGTGCATGAGAAAAAATCAAAGCACACGTGTGTATGAATCGCCCAGTTACTGCATTTCTTGCAGTCAAACCTTTCCTTTAAACAGGGTTTTCTGCAGAAAATAAAAAAGGCTGTGTCTAGTTCTGGACACACACATTTGCCACCTGTTGTCTCACAAGCCATGCATAGATCCACAGTCTTCTGACTTATGTTTGGAAGACATCTTAATCGCTGAAAGTAGCTGTTTAACGGCCTTCTGTGGTAATTTAGGGCCTTTAGAAAATCTAATGGCACTTCGCCAAACACATCTTTGCATAGTTTGGTTTTGTGATAGTCTTCCAATGATTGATTTTCTCTTATAAAAGATAGTAAAGATCCAAGTTTGAACGAGTAAGTATTGTGGATCAAAAATCTTAGAGTATGAGCACACCATTCCCCAATGAAATTATTCGATGATTCAAGCGAAACCAATTGGTCGGAAGAATTCTGATTCATTTGGTCCTCAGATGCTGTTGCAATTTTACTTCTGAATTTTAATTCAAAATTGCCTCTTTTAACAAACTTTTGCTTTGTAGACGTACTTTGTTTGGAAAACAAACGCCTTTTTACAATACATTTTTTATGTGTAGAGGAACTTGATGTGCTGGCGACACTTGATGTGCTGGGAACACTTGATTTTCTGGCTGAAATTTTTCCGTCACTGAGGTCTTTACTTTTTCCAAGATTAGCAATGACATAATTTGTTTTTCCTTGTCGAAGATTTTCCAAATAAGCACTTTTGTAAGCGCCCGGGTGAGGTAGGCTGTCGTTCATTGCCCTAGTTGTACCCTTATGGAATACTGACAGATGATTATCCAAGCGTTTCATGTAATTTCCATACTGGGGGCAGGTTGAAATTCGACAGACACCGTCTTTTCTCTATAAAATTATTCGGAATTATTTAGGTTAAAAATATGAAGATATCAAGAGTGGTAAGAGCGTAGAAATATTTCATACTTTCAGTAGGTAGGAAGGAAAGGGCCTTCATTCAAAGACCTTTACTATTTAAAGTTAAAATTTGTTAAAATTAGCCCTGTATATACTGTGATATACACTAGTACATCTTCATACACGCCCCTTCTTTCATCAATGTATCACCAACTGTACTAAGTAGGTAGTTATTCTTTAACTATAGTATCATGCTGTGCTTCAAAGATTTCATTCACGATTTAATTATATTTTCGTAGCGCAATTCTAGGGAAACGAGCCATTTTTGTTTGTATATGTAATAATGAAATAGCAATCGCCCCATATAAGTTATAGCGTCATAGCTGCAGCATGTGGTCACTCCTTGCGCAAAGAAAAAAAAGGAACAAGCTATGGCAACTACCACGTCGTGAAAATTTGTACCAATATGAATACCAAAATTGCAATTCTCATTGGCAAATCTGATCTGACCTTCGAGGGAAAACATGTCATATTTCTTCTGAACTTATTTCTTCCCATCATAGGGCTACAAACAAACAAATTCGCGTAATAAGTAATACGGAGTGTGAATATTGATATAAAATGTAGAACTATATGCTTATAGAAATTACAGTCTCGTTTACCTTGAAATTAATGTCTCGAACTGATAACAAACTATCCCTGAATAACTGAGTGATCTAGAACAGACGCTCTAGAATGGCCAAAAATGACTATAGAATGGCTATAGAATGGCTATAAATGACAAATAACGAAAATACACCTCGGGAATCTTTGCCTTTTGGCTTTGTTTTCGCAACACAAGAGCAAAGTAATACTATACGCGCATATCAGGTTTAAAAAAAGGTTTCTTATTTCCCAAATATTTCATATTACTGTCTTAAATTTCACTTCGTAACATTTTAATTACGATTCTTCAAATGAAATTTGACACCGACTTTATTTACGTTTTTTAACTTTTAAGACAGGGGTCAGTTTTACCCACATTGTATAAGAATGTTACATCTTCACAACATGTTTAGTAAGCTCACCCTCCAAATGAAATTTGACACCGACTTTATTTATGTTTTTAATTCTAAAGACAGGGGTCAGTTTTACCCACATTGTATAGAATGTTACATCTTCACAACATCCCTAGTAAGCTCACCCTCCAAATGAAATTTGATAACGACTTTATTTACGTTTTTTAATTCTAAAGACAGGGGTCAGTTTTACCCACATTGTATAAGAATGTTACATCTTCACAACATGTTTAGTAAGCTCACCCTCCAAATGAAATTTGATACCGACTTTATTTACGTTTTTTAACTTTTAAGATAGGGGTCAGTTTTACCCACATTGTATAAGAATGTTACATCTTCACAACATCTTTAGTAAGCTCACCCTCCAAATGAAATTTGATACCGACTTTATTTACGTTTTTTAACTTTTAAGATAGGGGTCGGTTTTACCCACATTGTATAAGAATGTTACATCTTCACAACATGTTTAGTAAGCTCACCCTCCAAATGAAATTTGACACCGACTTTATTTGTTTTTTAATTCTAAAGACAGGGGTCAGTTTTACCCACATTGTATAAGAATGTTACATCTTCACAAGATGTTTAGTAAGCTCACCCTCCAAATGAAATTTGATACCGACTTTATTTACGTTTTTTAACTTTTAAGATAGGGGTCAGTTTTACCCACATTGTATAAGAATGTTACATCTTCACAACATCTTTAGTAAGCTCACCCTCCAAATGAAATTTGATACCGACTTTATTTACGTTTTTTAACTTTTAAGATAGGGGTCGGTTTTACCCACATTGTATAAGAATGTTACATCTTCACAACATGTTTAGTAAGCTCACCCTCCAAATGAAATTTGACACCGACTTTATTTATGTTTTTTAATTCTAAAGACAGGGGTCAGTTTTACCCACATTGTATAAGAATGTTACATCTTCACAACATGTTTAGTAAGCTCACCCTCCAAATGAAATTTGATACCGACTTTATTTACGTTTTTTAACTTTTAAGATAGGGGTCAGTTTTACCCACATTGTATAAGAATGTTACATCTTCACAACATCTTTAGTAAGCTCACCCTCCAAATGAAATTTGATACCGACTTTATTTACGTTTTTTAACTTTTAAGATAGGGGTCAGTTTTACCCACATTGTATAAGAATGTTACATCTTCACAACATGTTTAGTAAGCTCACCCTCCAAATGAAATTTGACACCGACTTTATTTACGTTTTTTAATTCTAAAGACAGGGGTCAGTTTTACCCACATTGTATAAGAATGTTACATCTTCACAAGATGTTTAGTAAGCTCACCCTCCAAATGAAATTTGACACCGACTTTATTTACGTTTTTTAACTTTTAAGACAGGGGTCAGTTTTACCCACATTGTATAAGAATGTTACATCTTCACAACATGTTTAGTAAGCTCACCCTCCAAATGAAATTTGATACCGACTTTATTTACGTTTTTTAACTTTTAAGACAGGGGTCAGTTTTACCCACATTGTATAAGAATGTTACATCTTCACAACATGTTTAGTAAGCTCACCCTCCAAATGAAATTTGATACCGACTTTATTTACGTTTTTTAATTTAAGATAGGGGTCAGTTTTACCCACATTGTAAGAATGTTACATCTTCACAACATGTTTAGTAAGCTCACCCTCCAAATGAAATTTGACACCGACTTTATTTATGTTTTTAATTCTAAAGACAGGGGTCAGTTTTACCCACATTGTATAAGAATGTTACATCTTCACAACATGTTTAGTAAGCTCACCCTCCAAATGAAATTTGATACCGACTTTATTTACGTTTTTTAACTTTTAAGATAGGGGTCAGTTTTACCCACATTGTATAAGAATGTTACATCTTCACAACATCCCTAGTAAGCTCACCCTCCAAATGAAATTTGATAACGACTTTATTTACGTTTTTTAATTCTAAAGACAGGGGTCAGTTTTACCCACATTGTATAAGAATGTTACATCTTCACAACATGTTTAGTAAGCTCACCCTCCAAGTATAGTATGTATTTACATATATTCGACATCATCATAAAATTCTAGATCTTCTTTATATAAGGCTGATATGGGCTCCACCATCTCACTGTCCTCTGTAGTGAAAGGTAAAACTTTAAATCCGGACCATAACTCATTCACTACGTTTACTTGGCGCTGATAAAACATCATCTTTTCAATGGCGAGGGAGTGCAAACCAAGTTCGTCGTCGCTGGAAACTTCACGATCGATAAATGATTGAATTATTTCAATCTGTTTGGTGAGAAATGAAATAAATGTAGACATCTCTTTTTTCACCATATTTTGTTCCTCTTCACACCTATCTTTAAGACACAAAAGATCAACCGCTCTATTTTTTACTCTTGATGGTACTCCTGTTTCAATATTGGGTTCGACAATACCATGATATACTTCCCCGTTTGGATCCTTTACATCATCAAAGGAAATCTCATCGTTCTCATTCATCCCATTAATCAAGCTTACGTTCCGAGTGATGTTGGCGACCACGCGATCGATTTGACTGCCAAGCTTTATTGCAATAGCTTGACCATCTGAAAAAAGGAGTAGAATCGGAGGCAACTAAGTAAAACAAGGGAAATCCAAGTGGAGATACATGTAAAAGATAAACACCAATGAAGAAAGTACCTTCACGGAAGAAAAGGCGTATTCGGACATACATTATTTGTAGTGTGATAAGTAAAAGAGCATAAAAGAAATATTTCTATACCAGCATATTTTGCTTTAAGTTCTAATAAAAACATTCTCTCCGACGCCATCCTATGAAGGGTATGAAGTAACTTTTGCTGTTTCTTGGCAATAAGTCTTGTATACGCATTTTGATATGCTTTTTCTTTTTTCTTCCATCTTGTTCGAACACCATGACGTTTCTCCAGGGAATATAACGCTTTTTCATTCCTAAAAAACCAACTAGGAATCAACTAATAACAATAGCCAGACGGAAGAGTACAGCTGCAATACGAATACCTGCAATAACAACAGCAGATGTAATAACAACTAATAATTGAACAGACAGCAGTCTGTTTAATTATCACTGTATAGCCGCATGTCCCACCTACTTATCCTTCTCTCAATGTTGGGAATCCTTTCCGGCTCTTCCTCTCTTGAAAAACTCATTTCGTTTCTGAAAAAAGTACAAAATCCAAATATCAAGAACAAAATACATTTGCACACCGCGAAGATCCTGTCACAAGTGAAATGTCTAGCAATGCCATAGGAATAAGCAGTCATACCAGAATAAGCATTTATAAGTGTGAACTAAGTTATATGCAGTGCCATATTCCGAAATTGTTATTCTCTGCATAAAATATTTTGTTACCGCAACTTTTTTGCTGAAAGAAGTAAATCCACATAAGATTCATCCCACTGGTATTCAAGGTCTAGGCGATAAAATATTAGACTTTATTTTAGTAGGCTATTGTTGATATTTGTATAAAAAACACAGATCTCAATTTCCCCAAACAGCTTGTATCTCTATCGAAACGGAATTCTGGTTATTAGCAATAATTTTTCAGAGCTTCAAAAGGAAAACTAGTCCGCTTTTCACTCATATACAAAAAACCACACATCCCATTTAAAAAAGGTATACTATAAAAGTGGGAAGTACACTTAGTTAAATCCATCAGCATATCACCGCACGTTTTACCTATTTACCTTCCATAACTGGTGCAATTTCTTCAAATTGTTCCTTGATCCAGCTCCGAATTTTAGCCTCATTACACTCATCTATCATAATAAGAAACACGAACGTAACCATGTCATATGTACCGGTAGGCGTTTGCTAGAAAATGTCATTATTTTAAGCACTTGAATTCGAGTCGCTTGTGAAAAACGTACCTGGCAAATTCGCGATTAAATTGCTCAATTCTTGGTCAACAGTGATCAGCAAAGACTGCGCCCTAACGAGCTTCGACTTTAGAGAAGGACCTATAATTTAAAAAAGATCATACTAGCAATAAAAAATTTGAGGTTCTTTGTGTTGTGTGACTGTAATGAAAAAAAGATAAACTTGGGCCGCACCCTAGAGAATCCACACTAAGAACAGCGAATAGTGGTAATGATTTACTGAATTTCTATTATATTACCAAATTTTGCAACAAGATGTTCACCATAATGGATAGTAGCGTCAGTTAGCACATCACTTCTTTTATCAACAGACATTTCTTTGGTTATTGAGGAAAACTGTCTAAGAAATGACCAAAAACGCTCAACGCCTTCTCCATCGGTTAAACCAACATTCGCCTTTCTTCGTGGACTATATTTGACCTAAATTGAATGTGGACTTGAACGGTCGGTTGCCATACAACTTTGAAATCTGCCTTAAAGGAATTGTTCTAAAGTCCTAAAGATGCAGTCCATTTCGCATAAATGTAATTCTTTTAAACAATTACCTGGCAAGAGGCTTTATGCCCATAACAATGAAATATTGGTATTGCAAGAGTTGTATTCGACAGCAAAGACTGCTGGCCGGAGCCCTTCATAAAAAAATTGCATGCTTGTATTTAGAACATTATTATCATTAATTCTTGAATCATGCTGATTTTTGAAAATACCAAATAAAATAATAAAATGCAATTATACACAGAACCTGCAGGTGGTTTGATAAAACACAGGCAATGTCGTACATCAGAACATAATTGAGTGATTCTGCAGAAATGCCAGCCTTTAGTTTTTCTAGCTCATATACAGCATAGGAAATTCTAAAATGATGCGAAATTTACTTACAAGGTGAATTCGCACAAAATGTTTTTGTGCATTTAAATAGTTGGTACATAGAAAGTGGTTGATGATTACTGTAAAAAAAACCTTATAGATGTTAATGCTAATTACTATTCTTGACACAACTGAATATAAATAGTGATCAAATGTGATTAATAAGAATTCTAAAACTATTTATGGAATTTGGTCTAGCATGATAAAAACAGGGTATTCACAATATAGCTAACCAGTGAAATAGTAAGTGATAAAAGAATGTACCTTTCACCATGTTTGATGCTGAGTAAGCTTTTTGGAAAGTCATGCCGACAAACCCTGCCAAACACTCCTTTTTCATCAAAAAGTTTATTTTTGCCTTTACTTCTAATTGCTGAAATTACTTCACCAGCATGAAATCTGTGACAGTCCTTAAAAACAAATAATATTAAAACAGTTTTTTGCAAATCACATTAACAAATTGCTTGCAACAAATCAAACGTCTTTTTAAACAATTACCTGTGTTTGTGATTTCTCTTTTGTGTGTTCATAATTATCAACAAAGTTATCAACATCATCTTGATCGCTGAACAACAATGTCTTGTGGCGTGAAGAAATGCTTATATCACCTTTCCCTTTCCTTCTTGGCAGACCAAAACATGCATCAACACATTCAATTAAGGTTCCACTTTCCTATAGGTATATACATAGAATTGACCTTAAACATATATTCATTGATGAAATGAAAGAGTACCACACTGGGTGAACATATATACAGTGCATTACTATTGGTATCCCATGCAATGCAACCTAGGTATCTAAATCTCTAAATGAAACACTAATTAATGTAAATTACAAGTAAAATTATATCAGTGTTATTACAGAGTGTGCGTTCTATTTTAAGAGTTTTCTTCTTCTTATCTAACTTACTGTTGATTACTATCTTGGAGATAAGCTGTTGTAAAGCCCTTCATGGCAAAATAACCTTTAAATTAAATATAAATATAACAAATAATTTTCTTACTGGCGTTAGGCTTATCAGTATAGGACAAATGACACCGTTATATAGCCCTGGGATATAGGAATCCAGATATTTTAATTTGTATTTAAAATATCTTGAAAAGAAAAAAAATACCGGTACCTATATCTTTTATACTATTATAATAATTGTACTAATCATACTAATTGCAAAATGTATAATATAAAGTATAATATAACTGGGGTGTGCCAGTAAAAGAGAGGGTATATATCAATAGGCATGACTTAATAAAGTGTACATACCTGTATTCCTCAAAAGATCCAGAATTTAAAGTGCGGTAAAAGGATTTAACCTGAAATGTAGAAAATAGTTTTTCAGTCTAAATTTTTTTCCTTCCAAATTGATATTTTGGCTCTAAACTAATTAGAAAAATAAGGGTGGAATACATGCAACTGAATGATTGAAAAGTAATTCTGTATATTATATTTTAGGGTTTTGAATACTTACATGAACAGATTGCAGTGATGGAAGTAATTCCATGATTATCTCAGAAAAATCCTTCAAAGGAACCTGATTATGTAGAAACAACTTTTCAGCTAAATCCATAATTCTAAAATGAAAGCCAATAGTAGGCCTTTCTGGAGAGCCAGGCCAGAAATGCAACCGGAGTAGTGTCACAGCATGGCTTTCACAACTGCAAAAAGCCACTCGCTTCAAGTGTTGATTACCTAACAATCATAGAAAGTAGTAGCAATATTCAATAGCAATCAATAATTAAATTAAAATTATTGCAGTTAATTCTCACAGTCCAAATAATATCTATTGTTCCAACATACAATAGACAAGTTGTTAAACAATATTGTTCT